CCTGGCCCGCAACAACCATTTAACCAGGATTTTAACTGATAACAATAGCAACAGAAAAACGAAGATGATTGGACAAACATGCACGTGACCTGTTTACACAGCAAGAGCGCAAGCGCATCTACTGGCTGGGAAATCAGGTGACGGAGAACTGCCAGCCAACAGCAGGCTGCGAGGGCCACGGTTTGCTGATCATGGTATAGCAGACGTTCGCAATACGTGAGACCCGAAACACACCCGCCAGTTCAACCGTCGCTTCCGATTATATCGTCCGTATGCTCCACAGCAAGGTGCAGCAGGCACGATGACTAGCGCGTGAATTAGTTTACAGTGAATTTAGTCTTGCACAGCACCTACCGCACTCCTCCCCTCCCTTACCTGGATCCGGTGTCGAGACAAAGTCAAGGACGGAGGAGGGGGAGGACTCAGGTGGATGGCACGGTCGAGCCCACACCTTGGCGTTCCCCTCCATACCACCTGGTCCACACAGAAAATGACCAGGACTTTGACCAACAGCAAAAGCGTGACTAGCAGGGCCGGAGCTGCACCTGGACGCGCCATCATACCTGGCTCGGATCCCGCGGACTGGGAGTGTCATAAAGGCCACATTAAGAAGGCGTCATTGCAGCCTGACTCTTAGAACAACTGCCGGTCGCTCCACAAAAACACGCAACACTGGGCCGAATGCGTGGTCCAAGTTATCCCGTTAGTTGGCAGCCTTCTAAGCCATGGCTTTTAGCGCGCTGTGATAGCTTCAAGCGCGTCAGATTGTATATAGTGAGGAGAATGCGCTGAGTCGTCGACCTCACTCTTCCTTCCCATTCCCATGCCCTAGCCACTGTCCGAGCCGGTCGGCTGACATGTACGGAGGGTGGGCGCGGTGGCTGAAATACGTAATGGCCTTGTCTTCACGCGCTAAATGCACGACCTGCCCCCCAAACACAAGCAGCAGGATTTCACACAACGGGAGTTGCGCGGTGTGAGAATATCGTAGGTCAGGCTAAGAATGAGCCGCTTCAGCGTGGTAATCAGCACACCAGTCTGCCAGTCCACACATGCATGCAATCAACTGGGCATACTGCGTGGACTGAGTTGGGGCGTCAGTCAGCAGCCTACAAAGCCACGCTGCTCGATGCACCGTAATAGTCACGGACACGAATCAGACATGCAACAGAGCAGCCGCATGGAGGCGAAGCCGGGACGCACACTTCCCACTTGCGCGTGGGAGGTGGCAAGTGGATGCTTGTGGTGGATGATGATGATGTTGCGTGATGTAGGTGGAGGAAGATGTGATGGTGTGGTCTAACCGGCAGTTGTCTATCGCAGGTATTCGTGAATGCGCATGTGGTCTGATAGGCCCATGCAGTGGGTGAATGTGCAGGTGCAGTGAAGGCAGTTGAGGCGGATGCGTCTGGTGTATTTTGGTGCTTCAGGCACTGGTTTGTCAGTCACTGTGCGATGGATTCGCAAGTGACCGACCAGGCCGAGGTGTGAGGTGAATTTACGGGGACAATGGTGACAGGAAGAGTCGGCGGTGTCAGTGTCGGTTTCAGAGATGGTGGCATTGGTGGAGCTGCTGATGGTGGACGCGCTGGGCGGCGAGGTGTGGGTTGAGCTAGGCATGGTGGATGTGCTGAGTGTGATGAAGCTGATGGTGATCAGCGTGCTGGGCGGCGGGGTGTATGTTGAGTTAGGCGTAGGGGATGTGCAAGATGTGTTATGTGTGCCGAGACAGCTGTCTATTACGCTCCCGTGGGTACGCATGAGACCGGATAAACCCATGCAGTAAGTGAATGTGCGTGGGAACTGTGGACGGTGGAGTTGAATGCGGCGAGTGTAGGTTGGTGCTCCAGGCACTGCTTTGCCAGTCTCTGTGTGATGGATTCGCAAATGACCAACCAGGCCGATGTGTGAGGTGAAGGTGCGGTCGCAATGAGGACGGGTATACATCGAGTCCACATCGCTGGCGTCGACGGTTGGGAGGTTAATGTTAGTTGGTGTACAGGAGCTGCCGTAGCGGATGTTGAGTCAATGGACGAGGAGGATGGATGTGGTGGTTCAGCAGGATGATCGGAATTAGTTGGCGACTTAGAGGACGAGGAAGAGGTAGACGGAGGGACGACGGTTGGTGTATTTTGAGTGCTGCAGTTGGTCCGAAGGTATCCAACATGCCTAATTGACGCCCGGAATGTCCGTTGACATCGTGGACACGTTGGATGAGTTTGGGCGTTGGCGCTGTGAGTCGAGGACGGAGGCTTCAGTTGAGATTTACGTGTCTCGTGTTTGGCTTTGGCGGCGGTAATGCGGTTGGATTCGAAGACTGCTGCGCCCCTCGTCAGTGTTTTCCTCCTCGTAGGTCGGTTCCAGGCCTGGTTGATCTGCAGGCGCTTCAGGGAGATTTTCAGGGTATCTTTGTAGTCTCGGACTTGACCTTCTTGTCGGCGTGAACTCATCGCGACGTCTCTACGGAGATGTCATTCAAGTAGCCGCTCGTCGTCCATCTGCAGGAGCTGACCGCTCCAGCGCAATTATAGTTGTCTCAGCATGGCGTAGATGCCGAGGTTTCCCGTCCGCTCCAGTACGCCAGTGTCGGGGATTTCGTTCGGCTACCTCAACTTCAGTATCCGTCGAGGATAGCTGAGGCGGAATTGCTTGAGTTCCCGCGCCTGCTTCTTGTAGACTGTCCAGGTCTCCGCTACTTTCGTCACCGTCGGCAGGATGACGGCCTTGTACATCTCCAGCTTCGTGGTGAGATGAAGACCGTAATGGTTCCAGACGGTGTGCTGCAGACGGCTGACGGCTTGGCTGGATTTGGAATTGCGGCGAGGAACTTCATCGTCGATTTTGGTGCTGCGGAAGAGGGTGCTGCCCAGGTAGGTGAAGTTGTCCACCACTTGCAGTTAGGTTTCGTTCACGCTGATCTGCGGCGCATTGTGGGGAAGGACTGCGTTCGGTGGCGTTGATGCATGACAACCGTCTTCTCCGTGTTGATGATCAGACCGGCGGAGAAGAGATCCATGCTCCTTTGCATGTCCCCTTCAGAGGTGGTGTTGAGAGCACAGTCGTCAGCGGAGAGATGTTCATGGACGGCAGCTGTGTATACAAGCGGATGAAAGTGCATTCGGCGCTGATTAAGGAGGTGGCCGCCCGTCCTGTAGACGATGCGGATCCCTTGGCGTTCGTTACGGTAGTGGTCCATCACCATGGCAGAGAACATAAGACTGAAGAGGGTGGGCGCCAGGACGCCGCCCTGCTTCACTCCGTTAGTCACTGCGAATGCCTCTGAGACAGCTCCGTTGTCCGTGACTCGCGCCATCATGCCATCGTAGAGCGGACGCCCCATCTGAGTAAATCGTTTGGATAGCCGAGTTTCTGCATGGTTTTCCACAGTCCTTCACGATTCACTGTTTCGAAGACTTTCGTCAGGGCCACGAAAGCAGAGTACAGGTGGGTCCGCATCTCCTAACACTTCTCTTGCAGTTGGCGGGCGGAGAAGATCATGCTTGTGTTGCCGCGATGACGGCAGATGCCGTACTGGCTTCCCGGCAGGAGTCCTTCTTCCAGATGGTTATTCAGGCGGTTGAGGAGCATGGAGATGTTTCGGTGGTTGTTGCGGAGTTGGCGGTTTCCTTTTCGTCTGTATAGATGCACGAATGTGGCGTCCTTGAAATCCTTGAAATCTCCTTGGCGCCACCTCTCCTGGAAGACGCCTCACACACATACACACAAATACCAAGCCGAGGCACTGTTTTGTCAGCATTTACTATTTGCCACACATGAGTTTTGCGCACATTCGTCCAAGGGCCTACTTATCCTCCTGAACGTTTGACTCGGGCTTGCCACACTGTCGCACAATGGTGCAGGGAAAATGCTGTATGGACTCTGCAAACCGTCACAACGAGGTACAGATTGTGATTTGGGAAGTTTCCAAACTGACATGCTTCTTTAGTTCTCTAGAAGTTCAGCCTCGGGCTTCAGCGACTTTTTCTGAATGTCTTTATGGTGGCTATATTTTGTGTTAGATACAAGTCGCATTCCGTCGGAGTCTAGTTTGGGGCAGAATTCATGCTGTGCGCGTAGCTGTAAATTCAAACTAGCCATTCACTGCACTCAAGCCCCTTTGCAATAGTTTTGCCGTTGTCTTGCTTATGAAGCAGGATGGATTTGGCAGCGGTAGAGCCTGCGCAGTTTCTACAATTTATCCTCAAGTCAACGATGCACCCTCGGGCCAGTGTTTGTTCCCATAGCTTTGGGAAGTACGGACCGTCAGCTATTAGGAAGGACATCTGCAAATTCTGTTACACTTCTTGCTGAGGTGGGTTGCTGTCAGAAATTCGAAAATGAGCAAGTGAAATTCAGTGAATTCAGCAGGGATACGTTCCGTGACAACGGTGCGTAGGTCGTATAGGTACAGAATTGCAGAAGAGTGAGAGACGTTTAGCCCTCAGAGAACTTGCCTGAGATTTCGCTTATTTCAGCATATCACCTAGGCCTGTTTCTTGATAGCTCCAAACGGTCATTGTAGAATCCATGTTCAGGCTTTTAATTTATTCTTCTGGTAAATATTTTTTCCATTCAGATGCGGATCATTCTTCGAGAGCTTGCATTTTCGGGTTCGTGTTTAGACATTTTTCTCTAGGCATATAGCCGGCCTGGCTAGCTGTATTACTTCTCCCAGTGTATTTACAAAATTACGTGCATTGTGGAAACAGAAAAGATGATTGTATTGAGGGGACGGAATTATGATAGGTCCCCTTTTAAGTAATAATGGCATCCGGCCTGTATGTTCAAAACTAACGACAATAAAAGGAGGTCGTATAAAACTTTGTAGTTTCAGATTTTACCAGAATTTCTAGCAAGAGTGAATTAGTGTAGGTTCAGGAATTAGTAATGCATGCACGTAAATCGATGAGAAGACGTATAGTGAAGGAAGAGAACGAGAGGGAGAGATAATAAGAAAGGCCTACGAGTCACCGTTCAATCTGACTACATCGATAAATCACATCCCAGTGTGATCTAGCATACCAATCATGGTCAGCAGAGCTTGCACCCACGAATCACTTAAAAAACCTTAGATTTGAAGCCAATATACGTAGAACTGGAATCGAGCTCTTTGCTGCTTGGTTTTGGGATTTGGCTGACTGCTGAACCCCTAATTCCTGCCCTTCTTGGCTTTGTCAGCGATTCTTCCCTCTTGATTATTGACTGGCGATCGCTATGTGGCCGAGCGCAGGAACTCCAAACAAGGCAGGATGCGGATATTCTGATATACGAATAGTAATGCTCATTGACTGACAATCCCAGAGACTTTGGAACTATAGTGGGGAGAAAATCTAATTTTCAGGGTGAAATTATGGATGGATACGCTATGATGCGATTCCACGATCAGTGTCAGCAAGCCTGTATTTCAGTCTTTTCACACGTGAGATAACTTGCCAGGAATGGTAACACAGGATACTGATATGCCGATATACGGCAAGAGATATGTCGAAAACTGCGGCACGTGGGGTGGGAGGACTTCGCAAAGATTAGTTCAGAATGTATGGGATAGGCAACATCATCCAGGATTCGACCGTTTTGAAATGCTGTTTTATGGTATCGTCGAATAAAAAGACAGGAAACACCGACAACGGAAGAAAGAAATCAGGCGACTCGTTTAAAAACGAACATATCTTTTTTGAGCAAAACATTAAAATGACGGGAGAAAAAAAAAGAATGAGAGGATGAATGCAGGCCTCTATAAATCGCCAGATTGAGGGTTGAGGTGCTTGGTAGGAACGTAAACGACGAACGTAACAAAGGAGTCTCCTCCCTTTAGTAAAAAGGGTCTCAATATGGAGGGAAAATGAAAGATTTAATGACAGAGTAACACTACGGTATCTGAAAGAGGATACCTCGTTGGAAAGGTTGTCTGAGGATTCAGGACTAGGAGAGGGCCGCAGTCGGAAAATACATGGACGGATTTCCGGTTTTTCAAAAGGAGACCATTTTCCTGTGACCATGCAGAGACATGATCAAGGCCATCCTTCAGAGACTGGAGATGTATTTGATTTTTGAGAGGTTGACCAACAACTGCATCGTCGCATACTTAACTAACAGGCAGTCGTTTGGTGATCTTAGAACCTCAGTGTTGAGGGAGGAGAGATGAGGGGATAAAATGGAACCTTAGAGAACTCCACAGTCATCGGGAAGGACCGCAGATTTCCACTTGCCGGATTGGACAAATTGAGTGCAGGAGGCAGACCAATTGCCGAGCCAAGCGACAACCCAGCCTGGACAGCCACAATTTGATGTTTTGGCAAGGAGAAGATGGTGTGGGACGGTATTGAAGGCGGAGGAGTAGTCCAGAAAAGCGCATGAGTACGCACAACAACCCCTATCTATTTCTCTTCGGGTAGAGTGGACCACAAGAGCAATAGCATCTACGGTACTATTCTTGGCCTTATATGAAAATTGCAAAGAATCGCAAAACTGGAAGAGAATGGCTTTATAATATATAAGGCAGCTTGTTCAGCAAGTTTCGTCAGTGCAGAAGAACAGGCAATTGAAAGAAAAGATTTAGGACCAAAATTAGTGGATTTTGTAGGAATAAGAGTGATTATTACTGTACGCCAGGCGTCAGGGATCTTGGACACTCATGTTAACTCAAAGAGGCAATCTACAAAACAAAGCACATAACAAAACGTAACTATTTCCGTGTTTTCAACTAATTTCGAAAGCAGCAACGACATTTATTTGCTTGTAGCACAGATCTGGCTGTGCAGCAGTGGTTTGCTCGAGAAAACTGTTGATATCATACTTTCCACCGGGTATACTTTTTTCAAAAAATAACCACACGATTTTTTGTCGAGGACTACAGTACTATAATTACGGATATTAGTATGACGAAGGTATAGTGGTCAGCGGTAAAGGAGCAACGTCATGATTACTGAAATTGAAATAAATCGGACTAAAAACTTTTTCGACGAGTATCCTATGTCAGCATTTTAGAAGTTCGAGAAAAATACGCTCTCGACTGTCAATCATTGGGCCCGTACAGTATCATAAGAGAGTGTGGGATAGCGAGAATTTAAACAACCAATAAACAGTTAGTATAAAGGCCCTAGGGCTCCCCCCCTCGAAGATAACCCAGTATGTGTGTTAACACCTCCTGCCAAGTCGCGTTACAGCGATGAAAGATAGACATAGCTAATTACCAGACCACTTCCCACTTTCGTTTCCCCTCTCTAAGCCCCTGACAGAACTAGACTATAACCTCTGACCTCTGAACGTCCTCAACCCTCCTCCCCGTACTTACTGTTTATTGGCTGTGTAAACTTTGGCTTCCCTACCCTCCCTTACATTACTGTGCAGGCCCGATGAAGAATAATCAAAGGCGTACGTTTGCCTAACTTGACTTCTTAGATGACCTCCCATTCCTGTCACAAAAGAGGAACCGGCGACTGGGTTTTATGGAACTGCCACCAGGGTTGTTGTCAGCGGACTTTAGGTTGTACTGCTAGACCTTCCCGCGGTTAAGTTCTCTGAATGAGATCCAGCACTGAACGCCAGTCGAATGCCGATTAGTTTGTCATCCTGGGACAAATTCATCCTGATCTCTGAGAAGAAACTTCGCGATACGCTATCAGTTGCAGTTGAGATAAATAGAGGAAACCGGCATGCGGGGTCTACAGTAGATGAACAGATTTTAATATTCATACATGTAGGCATATATGATAATCACTCTAGGTGACATTTAGTCATCATAAATATTCTGTTGACAACTGCAATTTCTCGAGTCTTCAGTTACCTACTCTTAAGAGTATAATATGCATCTAAAATTACCCCACCACACTACATAGTCGGAGGTGCGACACCCAGCAGTGGCGGAGTCACACTTCACCGTAGTAAATTCCGACCACCCTGGAAAATTTCCGGTTGCCTTTCGTTCGCTCTGAGCGTTTGGGAATGCCTAAGAATAAGTGGTAAGTAGGTTTCCCGTCCCCGAGAGATGGGTTTCACGACATAATGGGTTTGGACCATCGGTGGTCCTACCTTTCTTTGAGTTCCAGCTTATCTGCTGTAGGAATCTAAGATCTAACACCTAGAGGCTGCAAGTCTTAAGATGGTCCAAATGGAAGTAGTAATTATCTTTTGTGTGAACTTCTACTTTTTAGTATTAGTGGTACTAAACTGATTTCAAAGCCCAGTTCCTCTCTTCAGAATCAGTCCTGTCCCATCTACGCTGTAGTTACGAACTGAAACGAAGGAACTGCGGCAGCTGGTTGGACGTTTAAAAAAACAGGCGTCAGAGCAGGACACAAGGGTGCGCATTCAGCTGGAGCATTGCAACCAGGAGGCCGCTGCTCACCTTCAACAGATGTTCGAGGAGGTGCGGCTGGAGAAACTGCGAGCTGCACGCATCAAGGCGCTTGGGGAGAAAATCTTACAAGAACGCTCGGTTGTCGAGGTTTTCCTCCTCTCCGCTCTCCGAGAAGTTCGCGAGGAAATAGACAAGACCAGGTGTTTTCAAGTTGCCCTCCTTCATTTATTCTATATCTCATCATGCGCATTGGTCTCAACTCAAATTGAATTCGCTTTTGAAACATCTGCAGTTTGTGCGAGCGCATGTTTGTGTCTCCTATCACAGATGGTGTTCAGGGTCATGAAAGACTGGGTGAGGGGAGAAAAGTCCAAAACAGTTCTGTTGCAGTTTACCTGCATTCTCGGTCATCTGCTTCCATACAGATCTCTTTGGATTTCCAGAGCAAGCAAACTGTACATATGACGGTGGTGATCACGAACAGACGACTTGCCAGGCTGCAAAGCAGCCAAGCTAACGGACCGTGGATAGTGGTTTTTTAAAATTCTTCGAAGTTAGTTTTTTTCTGGGAAGTCAAACTGACAGTGTGAGCTTATTCTTGTGCAAATGGGTAATCGCGGGCAACGTTATGTTCTTAAAAATGTCCACTTGATTCATAATTTATGAAGTGGGGCTGTTTTAATGGAAGAACTAACTACATTGCAATGTTCGCAACTTTTCTAAGTTCAGCCCGAAGGCCAGAGAATAGGTAGTACTTAAACAGTAACCATTTATGCTTTCTCGAACTTGTATGGTGAGGGTTTTTTACTGGTGGCCAAACCATGCACACTGGTGATATTGTGGTTTTGGGCTGAAATAGAAATCACCAGACATGGAGCCGATTAGAAGAAATCTTTAACCAGACATTTGACGATAGGATCTATATTTAACTTTTTGTCCTATTGACTGTCTTATATAATTCGTGATTGACTTAAAAGACCTTCCGAAAGCTCAGAAGAATTGGTTAACTCCCCAATATTTGATTTTCCTTTCACACAGAAAAAAAATTAGTAGGTAGCTAGAAGGTATAAACTCAGCATGCTGATACTCGGAAACCCATGAGCAACATGAGAGTTTGGTGAGCTAATGCGTTATCATAAATAATAGGTATAACATAAACCTTAAGGGGACACATGTACTGCAAGTAATATTGTCTCGATCTCTGAGGTATCATCGGTCAGCAAAGCACACAGTGTAGGAATGAGGGCTCACATTCGCTTTTTAACCTAAAGATAACGGAGAGATGAGATCAAACAAAGGCAGATGCTGATGGATGCGTAACTTGATAAAAAAATATGTGATACCAGCGGAATCATAGGGCCAGAGGTCGGTTTTCATAAAAAACGTCTATCGGATTCTCATACTATTCTTGGAAGTTAGCACTTCACTTTATTATTGTAGGCTAGTTCGACTTTGATATCTTTTTCGTAGAGATAAATTATTCAATGGATATGTCCTTCGGGGTCTACCCCTGTACATTTTGGCCTGATGACAAGACTTCTCAGCAGAGGATTTCTTATAGTATTTGGAAATTTGCTGGAGTACTGATGTAAATCGAGCCTGTGACTGTCGTGTGTTTAAGGCAGCCAAAAAGATATAAATTGCGAGTAAGCGTGAAGGTTCATCTTCCTCTTGCTGCTTTGAGCCGTAAAGGAAAGAGTATGCGAAAGCCGCTGAAAAGGCCTTTCGCCATCAAATGGTGCTGGCAAACAGGGACGAATCCAACTACCCACGCATCCGAACATTTCAACGTGGCCTTCCATATAGCACCAATTCTGTGTTCAAGGATTTCGACGCGGCTGAAACACCTACGTAAGTGACTCGCATTAATTTTAGGGTCATTTCCCATTACGATATAACACTCGGCTCTTGCATTCTGTGGCATCTGTTTAAAAAATCTACGAATGTTTACTGATCTAAATGTAAAAGTGTTATAATTTTCCAGGTACCCTATGGCTATAGATTTACGGAAAGAGCCTCATGCTCTATCTACTTGCTGTAGACTAACTGCGAAGTAACTAGAATTCTCACTGACGCTAAACGCCCGAAATCCTCCATGTATCGTAGGTTCATTGCTATAAAGCCAAATCATAGAAGGAATCCTTTATATTTTTGTCGAACGCAAAATGGATTTATTTGAGTAAGGACATCTGTTATGCAGGCCGACTGTTACTAAACTACTATACTTTTAGACCATAGAAAGAGTAGTAGACAGACATAAAATAAAACTGTTTGATCAGTCATGGTCTCCCAGGAATTTCCACTGTCTTTTAGGAATCTTAGAGACCTACCGTGTCCTTTTTCACTCTCCCAAGGCTTCATAATCACTGTGTACTGAAAAAGCGATACCGCCTTTTCGGGGAAGTTGGTCCAGCACAATATCGGTTTTTCTTTTCGGAAATTTAAAACCTGAACCGAAAGGCAGACAATAAGCTAGCGTATAGCTAGTGAATAAAAGTAAGAGACATCGTCCGGCCCACCAATATTTTCTACAGTGCTCGAAGTGCCGAAATTAGAAGAGCTACAAAGGTTCCAGCCAGTCTCCCTTCCTCGTTAAGGCAAAGTCAGCTATACGTAGACTGCTGTATTTACGTGCCTTCGGTACTACTAGGCCTTATTTTGTCGCGCGAAACCCACTGAACTTTAGATTATTGTCTGTCATTAACGAGTAAATTATTATCCGTCTGTACGTTTCATAAGAATGGTCCAAAATTGGCTAACGCGAAGGGCACGGACGGCCGGAAGTCGAGACCATCCAAGGCGAAAGCAGGCAAATCTTGTTTATATTTTGACGGGCACACAATTCACATTATTTGACAATTCGAAAAAGTTCATTTGACAGGGTCACGTAACAACTGACTCCTCTTCGGTCATGGGGTAGACGACGTCTGAAAAAGCCATCCCGTTCCCACACAAATACCTTAAACTTTGATAGTAGTGAAAATGTGATTCCCAGATAGGAAATCAAAAGAAAACGAGGGTGAACGCATCATTTTCTTCTGACCTTAAGCCTTATAATTCACACGTGTAAAATAAGCCCTTTTTGTTGATCGATACAACATAAGTATAAGCAGGGCATTTTCTGTCCACATGATTGCAATGGCTTTCTACATAAGTCAAAAGACGTTTCAAATGATACTATTTAATAGCCGTCATTGGACATTAAACATTCTCGAAAATAAAAAAACCTATTAGGTACGCTAATTAATAGTGATTTTATCTTGGACATGATTAGACTTTGTAGGGGTTTTAAAGAACACTTTAAGTTAAACCGAATCTGCACATTGTTGGTGGCGGTCCACGTGTCTCTAAATGCGTTTGAGCATAAGGGGTCCAGCTACGGATTGGCCCTGGAGTTTTAGCAGCCACTTTTTGGAGAAAAGCACACTCCGACTAAACGTGATTTACTTAGTAGATGCAAGAATACTGGGATTAACGGTAGCTTTACAGTTTGCCACGAAAAAAGTCTAACTGCCATCTGACAGCACCCATGCGTTTAATATTTTCCGTTGGTTTTAGCTTTGATTTACTCGCCGTTTATCGAACTGATGACGAATTTGCTTTATCACAGTCCATCTACATATACTTTCGCCGAATACGTAATCAAACACCACCTGATGCTCCCTTAAGTTTTTTAAAACACTGTCTTTTCTATGCCACTAATCCCATCCATTTTCTCTTCCGAAATTCTAACCATCCCCTAGGTTGACGTCAGACAGTCAGCTGTCTCTTTCCGACCTAACCTTAGAACAGAAGGAACGGGTGCTGCGTAGACTTTTCGAAAAGATAAATGCCACTCGAAACAAACCACTCCAACCGTTTCCACGAGAGGACAAACCGGGTAACAGAACCCCTTCCGTTCAGTCGATACTCCCTGCATTGGCCTCTGGAAGCCCCAACGAACGGTGTGCTGATGATGATGGCGACTCCACCACCATGACGACCAAGCTATCCCCTATCAGCCTTTCGCCGGCAGAGGTTACAGTTCA